AGTTAATCAAGGGTAAACTGGTAATTTTTGAACAAACAGCCAAAGGTTTATGTGAAATCAGAATCTTGAAAAGTAAAGATAGTATGGATACCTGGATGCTTTTTTACAGCTCATTCTTAAATTGTCCATTACAGATCTTGCAAACATTTTTATTTTTTATTTATTCATTTTTTTGCGGTACGCAGGCCTCTCACTGTTGTGGCCTCTCCTGTTGCAGAGCACAGGCTCCGGACGCGCAGGCTCAGCGGCCATGGCTCATGGGCCCAGCCGCTCCGTGGCATGTGGGATCCTCCTGGACTGGGGCACGAACCCGTGTCCCCTGAATCGGCAGGTGGACTCTCAACCACTGCGCCACCAGGGAAGCCCCATTTTTGTTTTTTAACAGATGACTAAAAGAAATGTTCCCCATCTTCCTTGTCCTTACTCTTTCTTCTGTTTCAGTCTTCTTTATTTTCTTGTATGATACTTATTTCTAAGTACTAAAAGTCATGGTCCAGTTTAAATCACTGCAGTTCTGCTTTGTTCTACAAGAGGGCACTCAAAAGACTTTCTTTTTCTGGTTTTCTATTTTCTCACTTGTTTGCCACATTGGACTGTGGGATTGATGGATCCCCAAATCCTCTACAGAACCAAGACAATACATATATACATGCAGTTAAAATTAAGTTCTTGTGAAGGGTGAACATTTATATGCTCTCGGAATAGAAAAATAGAAAGGAAGAGACTAAGATATCCCAATATGACATCCATGACTATTTCATTTGCTTTCCCAGGGAAGGCTTTGGATATGGAGTAGACATGATTCCTGAAAAGGAGGTGAGGCACATGTAAAGACTTATATATTCTGCACTGATGAAATATCACTGATATTTGATCATTTCCAAACTAAATAGAATAGGTAAAGTCTTTTTTTCTTTTCTTTCTTTCTTTCTTTCTTTTTTTTTTTTTATAAAGCTGACAAAATAAATTCACATGAGTAAATGAGATGATTATAGGTAAAGAGATTATAAAAAACAATACCTGAGTTTTGTCAGAATAACAGGTGAGAAGATGCTGAGGAAATATTTGCTTTGTTGACATTAGGATGGCAGAAACATAAAGAAATGAGCTCATTGCTATTATTAAATTTTAAATCACACCTTAATGCTACCACGGAAAAGGATTAGAGCAAGTCTTAATCCACCCAAAGATGATCAAAGTTGTCTTTTTCTAAAGGTTAGACTGGTGAGGCGCCGAAGTGGGGTGGAGAGATGAGTAGTGATGGGGTGAGGCATACGCTATTCAGTCATCCCAGAAACTCCGTGTAGTATTCTGACTTTATTAGAATTTTTCTGGTCTACCTGGTAAGAGATCAAACAACACTAGATGCCTTTAGAAAGAACTTTTCCTAGGTTGAAGATAACCAGGACTGACTATTAGAAGAAAGATGTCTCTTTTTGAGGGAATATTGCAGAAGATACTGGGGGTGTCAAAGTACAGCATTACTGTCATAGCTTTTGTATTCGACCCAAAGAACCACATGTTACAATGTCAGTCCCTTTTGCTGAATTCTGGATCAAATCTGATAGCCCAAGAAACAACTCTTTGATAACTCTATAACCACCAGGGACCAAAGGGCAGTATCACAATCTCAGCACGAAAACTATACAAAGAAAATGCAATTTTTAGATCATGTTTATTAGATATTGTGTTTGTTATTTTATTTTATTCTCTTTTATGCCTTTATCTTAGTTGAAAGCCATTGGATAGTGGCTTTCTAAAACAATTGTTTTAATTACTACCATTGGTAGTTCTCAAATAATCAGCTGTTATTTTAAAGATGATTACTTTTTCAAATAGAGACAATTAGTAAATTATTAAAATTATCCATGCCTGAATGAACTAGAAACCAGTACAATCTGATAGATTGCTTTGGAAATTTAATCTTTATTAATTTTTTTAAAAACTCAATATCCCCTTTGGGGCAATGAATTTGACACTTTTATTAACTTAAATGTCTTCATATCAATTTCTAAACAGGAAAAATTAAGGAACACAAGAGAGTCCTATGAATAATTTTGACATATTTTCTTTAAAACATAAGGGAAAATGATAAAAAGACTGTATATATTTTTTACCATCCATTTTATTACTTAGCATCCTAAAGAGCTGTTTCACATCTGTTATTTTTTAGTTATCTGTGCTTCCCATATGAGTTTTCCTAGCAGCATCTGAGGGAGTAGAGAGAATCAAAGTGGTCTCCTTGGTAGCCGATCACCCTGCTATTGCAGGTTGGCTAATTCTGTGCATTAAGCCAAAATACCAAAGCTGAGTATGAAGTCTGCAGATATTGCTTCTCCAGCTGTTGGAAACACAAATGACATGCATCCCGTTCAGGGTGCAGCATCACCCTGAATCACTTCATAATGTGGCACTTGGCTTATTTGACAAATCTCTGGCAATAGATGGCAATCAGAACAGTTTAAAATTTCTATATTTTTGGAGTCATTTCTTAATACATTAACCATTTCTGAAATTAATCAATGCGCGGGCAAAATAACCCCAAGGATATCCAGGTCATGTGTGTGCACTCCTGTGTGTTCACGCATGTGTGTATTTAACTAAAATTTGGTAACAACACTACTATTCCATGATTATGTTTCTTCTTTCTTTCTAATGCTCTATACCTTTCTGTCAAAAAATTGAATGGACATCATTCAAGGAAAAGCGGGGGTTTAATACCATCTCTACGCCTGCAAGATCCACCATACCTTAAGAGAGAAGAAATTAATCTTTGAGGTTAAGTTGACTTACCATGTGATGTCAGTGTTGCACTAAAAGAGCACAATTAATGGGGCGGGGTTTGCAAGTGTTGTGGGAATAATCTACTGGGGAGCAAGGTTAATTTGAGTGTTGAAGGTTATCAGTTTTAGATAACCCATCACAATCTGAAATGTCTTTATGGAGGCTGACACAGCTCTTCTTTTGCAGGGAGTCAAATGTCACATTCAACTACCTCTCATTCAAATTCAAAACATGACACCTGTCAAACACAAGCTAATTTTTTTTTTTCCTTTTCAAATAGAAGCCACATCAAGACGCTTGCTAATCTTAGAGATCTAAAGTATCTTCCATCACTTTGAATGAAAACGTATACATATTCTATTTCCAGATGAATAAAATGCGATTTAGCCACACATAATCAACTTGAACTCTGTCCCTCCATTTAATTTCTCAGTTGTTTGTGTTTACAGGAAGCCATTCTCTTCAAGGACAAATTTAATAAGGACAGTTTAGGAGGTTATAGGAAAGAGGCATGCAAAATGGAAAATGTGAGGTGATTTCAATTTAGATAGGTACTTAGCTGGGTCTGTGATTACAAAATGTACCAGAAGGCAGCCCCTCTTACAAAACAAACATAGATATAGATGTTTGTTTTCTAGTCGTCTAGGGGTGCCTTTTTACTAAGAAGAATGAATACCACAGATTTCGCTTATTGTACAGTTAAGTAGCTACTCTCTTCCTCACCAATGCAAAATTCACCACTGTGAAAAATATATTGCTATGTGCTTGAAAGAATGAATTCCTCTAGATTAGTTACCTGCCCTGGTTTGGAGGATGCAGTGTATACGAGCTATTCCAGTGTAATCAAGATTGAAGCTTGTCAGAGCTTGAGGAATTTTGTTTCTTAATATTCAAGTTGTCTTAGATCTCTTATATACACTTAATGAGAACTCCAGAAGGTCTTGAGAAACTACAGAAATTACACCACAGATACAGGCAAATCCTTCACTCACTAAGGATTCAAATACAGTCAATATAAGTGTACTAGCAGAAATTATAAAATGTAGGGAAACAATCTTTCCATAACATTTCATTTTCTGCTTCCTGCAAATCAAATTACAGACATACACATTCAATATTGAATTACTTTTGTAAAGTGCTTTCTTCTTTGACACACCATTCAGAGTTTTCTTAGGGTGACAGCTTAACTGTTTTGAAATATTATTTTTATTGCTGCCTCATTCAGCTCTCTAAGCTATCAAAATATGTGCTTCTCACCAACCTCTGCTCTGTTATACTAGAATATTAGCCCCCCAAAGGAACATCAATAAATTCTTCCTCTAGAATAGCAGGTATTTAAAGGCTCAACCATGAAGCAGTGAAAACCCATGTAGGCAAATCCACAACAGTAGGATCCTATACTTGAAGGAAAACCCCATACTGTCCCACCCACACCAATACATAGATAGATAGGTAGATACAATAGATAGATGATAGATAGGTAAAATAGCTAGATAGAGGATAGATAAAATAGATAGATGATAGATTGATGATAGTTAGATAGCTAGATAGATAGAAATCAGAACCCATAGAACCAAGACTTCTTCAAGGTTTGGCAACTTTTCTGAGCTGCCTGTCAAGTACTTCTTGTGAGTAATGACTCAAAAGAATTGCACAGGCTGAGGGTGGTGGAGAGAAAAGAGAGAAAGAAAAGTCAAAGTTAGTGCTCTCAGACTTTCGTGTGCACAAATTCATGGGAATCGTGTTAAAATTCAGGTTCGGACTGAGTTGGTTTGGGTGGGGAGGCCTGGGATTCTGCATTTCTAACAAGCTTCTAGCTGCTACTGTTGCTGCTGGGGGTTCATGGACAACACTAAGCAGCAAAGACCTAAGGCAAAGAGTTCCAAAAGGGGATCAGAGGACTGGAGAAGTGCTGGCTACCACCTTCTCACTGGGATTAAATACAAATACAGATTCCAAGGCTTTGTTCTTCTTGGTTTGAGTGAGTAGAGCTTGATGAATCTGCGTTTTTAAAACATTTCCCAGGAGACTCTGACACAACGCTAGGCTTGAGGTCTGAACACCATGAGATTTTCTCCAGTGAGCAGCTTGCTAATGAGGTTCACCCATCTGTAATTGTAACTGCATCAATTAACTCTTGAGAAACAGGGCGGGGAGAGAATTAGGCTAATTCAGATCTGTCATCCTCCATGCGTTTGAGATTAAGGGTTGCAGAATATGGTCTCAGTGGAGAAGAGATTCTGTGAACTGTCAGAAAGGGAAACTGTCTTTGATAAGCTGAAACTCTTAATTCAAAAATAAAAGAGCCTGAATTGAACCCAGTGTGTTCCAGGTACATTATGTTCATGTTCTCGTTAAATTCTCACAACATCCTGAGAGGTAAGTAATACTATATTCATTTTACAGTTAAGGAACTGAGAGAAAGGACTATTAAGTCAATTGCATAAGGTCATAAAGCTAAGGAGAAGAATTGGGATATGAACAAAGGTTTTTCTAACAGTAATATTAAGTTTGGGACGTGAGGCTTAAGATATTTTGGTGAGGCAGGATGGTACAAATGTTACTGACCAGGGTTCTTGGCCTTCCTCAATCAATAGAAATTGATTAGAGGCCAGAAAAGAAATTCAGGCGAGGCTTTATTGGGGCTCCTGCTGCAGCAGTGGGGAGAGAGAACAAACAGCAGGTTCCCTTGCTTGCTCACTCCCTGAGTGGGGCAAGCTTGTTCCTTATATGGGGTGAGGGTAGGGGTGTGTCCAGGGGTCGGGCCAGAGGGGTGGCTTAGGTGTTCTGCCCACCCCTTGGGTGGTGGTGTGTGCAGGGGTCATGCGCAACATCCGGCTTTTGCTCTCAACACCGTGTTTTTGCTCCAGGCTCTTCAAAAGTGGCAGTTGGGTATTTTGGTCTCTTTGTAACTTTCAGGTCCAGAATTTGCCCCAACCGCCACATGCACACAGTTATTTTTAGTCCCATACAGTTTCTTAGTATTTTGTTACTCGAGGAGAAGTGTGTCCAGGTGAAAGCATTGCAACACTGCAGCAAAAGGTCCCAGGTCCCAGCAAAGTGTCCCAAGTCCCAGCCTGTCTCACAAAGACTAATTCAAAATTTTTGAAACTTTGCAAATTGTCCATGTGCATTATTTTTGGTACTCCATAATGAGAATGGCAAAATTTCTAGAAATTGTTCACATGCTGGTGTAAATGCATACATCTGGATATAAAATGATTAAAGAGAAATACCCTCTGAGCTGTCTCAACCCATTTGTGATGGTGGCAGTGAAAGTAGAGATGTTTCATAGAAATCACGTGGTTGTTGAATATCTTCACACCTTCCCTCCCTTCTCTGCAAGCCATGTATCTCCACATTGCTGAAGCATGGTACAAAGAAATCCATGTGGCAGAGAGCAGTCATGATGATAAAGCAAGACATTTAAAAGCATGCTCTTTTGACATCAACCCTTGAATCTGCAGACATTTAGAGGGGTACACTAAGAGAACAATCCTCTAAGTAAATAAGTAAAGAAAGGCTTGGTACACAGTGATCTTTGAATACTAATATACATATTGATTAATAATTTTTTGCAACCCTCAGTATGAATCTCAGTATAAATTAAGGACGCCTCGGAACACAGAAAAATTTTTTTTAAACATCTTTATTGGAGTATAATTGCTTAACAATGGTGTGTTAGTTTCTGCTTTATAACAAAGTGAATCAGTTATACATATACATATGTTCCCATATCTATTCCCTCTTGCATCTCCCTCCCACCCACCCTCCCTATCCCACCCCTCTAGGTGGTCACAAACCACTGAGCTGATCTCCTTGTGTTATGCGGCTGCTGCCCACTAGCTACATATTTTATGTTTGGTAGTGTATATATGTCCATGCCACTCTCTCACTTTGTCACAGCTTACCCTTCCCCCTCCCCATAACCTCAAGTACATGCTCTAGTAGGTCTGTATCTTTATTCCCTTTATTCTAGGTACTTCATGACCTTTTTTATTTTTCTTAGATTCCATATATATGTGTTAGCATACGGTATTTGTTTTTCTCTTTATGCCTTACTTCACTCTCTATGACAGACTCTAGGTCCATCCACCTCACTACAAATAACTCAATTTCGTTTCTTTTTAAGGCTGAGTGATATTCCATTGTATGTATGTGCCACATCTTCTTTATCCATTCATCTGTTGATGGACACTTAGGTTGCTTCGATGTTCTGGCTATTGTAAATAGAGCTGCAATGAACATTTTGGTACATGACTCTTTTTGAATTACGGTTTTCTCAAGGTATATGCCCAGTAGTGGGATTGCTGGGTCGTATGGTAGTTCTTTTGTAGTTTTTTAAGGAACCTCCATACTGTTCTCCATAGTGGCTGTATCAATTTACATTCCCACCAACAGTGCAAGAGGGTTCCCTTTTCTCCACACCCTCTCCAGCATTTATTGTTTCTGATTTTTTGATGATGGCCATTCTGACCAGTGTGAGATGATATCTCATTGTAGTTTTGATTTGCATTTCTCTAATGATTAATGATGTTGAGCATTCTTTCATGTGTTTTTTGGCAGTCTGTATATCTTCTTTGGAGAAATGTGTATTTAGGTCTTCTGCCCATTTTTGGATTGGGTTGTTTGTCTTTTTGTTATTGAGCTGCATGTGCTGCTTGTAAATTTTGGATATTAATCCTTCGTCAGTTTCTTCATTTGCAAATATTTTCTCTTATTCTGAGGGTTGGATTTTGGTCTTATTTATGGTTTCCTTTGCTGTGAAAAAGCTTTTAAGTTTCGTTAGTCCCATTTGTTTATTTTTGTTTTTATTTCCATTTCTGTAGAAGGTGGGTCAAAAAGGATCTTGCTGTGATTTATGTCATAAAGCCTTCTGTCTATGTTTTCCTCTAAGAGTTTGACAGTGTCTGGCCTTACATTTAGGTCTTTAATCCATTTTGAGTTTATTTTTGTGTATGGTGTTAGGGAGTGTTCTAATTCCATACTTTTACATGTACCTGTCCAGTATGCCAAGCACCACTTATTGAAGAGACTATCTTTTCTCCACTGTATATTTCTGCCTCCTTTATCAAAGATAAGATGACCATATGTGCGTGGGTTTATTTCTGGGCTTTCTATCCTGTCCCATTGATCTATATTTCTGTTTTTGTGCCAGTACCATTCTGTCTTGATTACTGTAGCTTTGTAGTATAGTCTGAAGTCAGGGAGACTGATTTCTCCATCTCCATTTTTTATTCTCAAGATTGCTTTGGCTATACGGGGTCTTTTGTGTCTCCATACAAATTGTGAAATTTTTTGTTCTAGTTCTGTGAAAAATGCCAGTGGTTGTTTGATAGGGATTGAATTGAATCTGTAGATTGCTTTGGATAATAGAGTCATTTTCACAATGTTGATTCCTCCAATCCAAGATCATGATATATCTCTCCAACTATTTGTATCATCTCTAATTTCTTTCATTAGTGTCGTATAATTTTCGGCATACAGGTCTTTTGTCTCTTTAGGTAGGTTTATTCCTAGATATTTTATTCTTTTTGTTGAAATGGTAAGTGGGAGTGTTTTCTTAATTTCACTTTCAGATTTTTTTCATCATTATGGTATAAGAATGCAAGAGATTTCTGTGCATTAATTTTGTATCCTGCTACTTTACCAAATTCATTGATTAGCTCTTGTAGTTTTCTGGTAGAATCTTTAGAATTCTCTATGTATAGTATCATGTCATCTGTAAATAGTGACAGCTTTACTTCTCCTTTTCCGATTTGGATTCCTTTTATTTCTTTTTCTTCTCTGATTGCTGTGGCTAAAACTTCCAAAACTCTGTTGAGTAAGAGTGGTGAGAGTGGGCAACCTTGTCTTGTTCCAGGTCTTAGTGGAAATCATTTCACTTTTTCACCATTGAGGATGATGTTGACTGTGAGTTTGTCATATATGGCCTTTATTATGTTGAGGAAAGTTCCCTCTATGCCTACTTTCTGCAGGGTTTTTATCATAAATGTGCGTTGAATTTTGTCAAAATCTTTCTCTGCATCTATTGAGATGATCATATGGTTTTTCTCCTTCAGTTTGTTTATATGTTGTATGACGTTGATTGATTTGCGTATATTGAAGAATCCTTGCATTCCTGGAATAAACCCCACTTGATCATGGTGTATGATCCTTTTAATTTGCTGTTGGATTCTGTTTGCTAGTATTTTGTTGAGGATTTTTGCATCTCTGTTCATCAGTGATATTGACCTGTAGTTTTCTTTCTTTGTGACTTCCTTGTCTGGTTTTGGTATCAGGGTGATTTTAGCTTTGTAGAATGAGTTTGGGAGTGTTCCTCTCTCTGTTATAGTTTGGAAGAGTTTGAGAAGGATAGGTGTTAGCTCTTCTCTAAATGTTTGATAGAATTCACCTGTGAAGCCACTGGTCCTGGGCTTTTGTTGTTGGAAGATTTTTAATCACAGTTTCAATTTCAATGCTTGTGATCAGTCTGTTCATATTTTCTATTTCTTCCTGGTTCAGTCTCGGCACGTTGTGCATTTCCAAGAATTTGTCCATTTCTTCCAGTTTGTCCATTTTACTGGCATAGAGTTGTTTGTAGTAATCACTCATGATCCTTTGTATTTCTACAGTGTCAGTTATTACTTCCCCTTTTTCATTTCTAATTCTATTGATTTGAGTCTTCTCCCTTTTGTTCTTGATGAGTCTGGCTAATAGTTTATCAATTTTGTTTATCTTCTCCAAGAACCAGCTTTTAGTTTTATTGATCTTTGCTATCATTTCCTTCATTTCTTTTTCATTTATCTCTGATCTGATCTTTTTGATTTCTTCCCTTCTGCTAACTTTGGGTTTTTTTTTGTTCTTCTTCCTCTAATTGCTTTAGGTGCAAGGTTAGGTTGTTTATTCGAGATGTTTCCTGTTTCTTAAGGTAGGATTGTATAGCTATAACTTCCCTCTTAGAACTGTTTTTGCTGCATCCCATAGGTTTTGGGTCGTCGTGTCTCCATTGTCATTTGTTTCTAGGTATTTTTTGATTTCCTCTTTGATTTCTTCAGTGATCACTTCGTTCTTAAGTAGTGTATTGTTTAGCCTCCATGTGTTTGTATTTCTTACATATCTTTTCCTGTAATTGATATCTAGTCTCATAGCATTGTTGTCGGAAAAGATACTTGATATGATTTCAATTTTCTTAAATTTACTAAGGCTTGATTTGTGACCCAAGATATGATCTATTCTGGAGAATGTTCTATGAGCACTTGAGAAAAATGTGTATTCTGTTTTTGGATGGAATGTCCTATAAATATCAGTTAAGTCCATCTTGTTTAATGTATAATTTAAAGCTTGTGTTTCCTTATTTATTTTCATTTTGGATGATCTCTCCATTGGTGAAAGTGGGG